GTGTTTCCTTTTTGATAGTTTTTTCTTTTTTTCTAGGTTAGTTCTGTTGTATAAGGAATTATCGGAAGTTTATTTACCATCTTTTCTTTATTCCAGAGCAACTATGAAGGGTTCATTTGTATTATTATTATTATTATTTGTTTATCAGTTATTATTATAATTATCGTAAGCAGATACTTTATATTGATTTTTAGGATTTTATTATTATTATTTAGAAACTTGTATTTCAAAGAATTAATTGTATTTTTTGTAAAGCTATAGACGGTGATATTGAAACTAAAAGAATGGTTGGATAATGTATGAAGTGCTAAATTTTATTTTATTGGTATGTTATGGTATATGTTTTGGAGTGTTGAAAAGTTTCTCCCAGTTTTGCTAGAAATTAAGTTGTTTTGAAAGGAATGCGAAATGTTGCGAAAGTATTCAAAGTAAACATAAAGATCTGTAGTAGTAGAAGATCTTTAGTGTTAGTGATTTCTGTGAATCGTGGTTTGATTGATTTTTTCATTGTAAATTACAAATGATAATGATTAGCACACTAGCTATATTAATTGCAGTACTTTAGTTGCTTATTATTTCATTCATTATTTAAATTTTTTAAATAGTAATTCCACATTTTGGCAGATTTATTGTTATACAATATTCCATTTTCTATTGTAGAAAGCGGATTTTTTTTTTCAGTAATTTCATATATTCCATGTGATAATCAAAGATGGAACTGTGTTATCATTCCTTATGATGTAAATATTGCTATCTTTTTAACTTCCAAATAGCCATTTCGTTATCAAATTCGTTTCATTATGAAATTGACAAATTTCTTTTCGCTTATTACAAATGCATCTCTGTCGAATATGTTTAATGAATTAATTCATTAGGCATAGTTTTTCACACAGTTTGATTAAATTTTTTTAATTAATTAATGTAAGTGAATAATTGTCGATTAGATCAATTATTTAAGAATTTCCGTAACATAATTAAGCACATTCGAATTATTTTCTTTCTCTTCCTATCTAACATATGCTGCTGTTTTTTTCTCCCTTTTTTTTTCGTCAGAAAGTCACTTTATTTAGTGTTATAGCTGTGTTTAATTTATTTTATTGAATAAATTATTATTATTACTGTGATAATTATGTTTATAGACTAACATTATCAATAAGTATTCATGTATCATCATGGGGGATTATCTACCCTTCGGTATACAATTCTCTTATTACAAACCTAATTGATTGATCTCATCTGCAACAGCAATATAAAAATTCGTCATTATGTAAAATGAAGTTTTTGAAACTGTTTGAATTTGTATGGTGGTTTGATTAATGGTAAATATAAGGTGAAATTGTTTGTTAGAAGATGAAATTATTTAATTCATGGAACTTATCATATTTTAATTAGTAATGTGTTTTTTTTTTTATATATAAGTTATGGATAAAATTTAGATTATTGCCGTTGATGAAAGAAGAAATTTAATAAATATAATCAGTTCTAATTATCAAAAGTGTTACCCGGAACTAAGTTTGAAATGGTGAGACGTTAAGACGAGTTGCACAATCGAGTATTTAGTAATATCAAATCATTCATTAATTTCAGTCAGTAGTGTGATTTGAATTAAATTTCTTTCACTTTCCTTTTATTATTTTTTTTTATATGACTCATCACATTTATTAAGAAATATCAAAAAAAAAAAAAAAAAAAAAAAAGGCAATTTGTTTTTCGTTGTGTCGTAAATGTCGCAGAGGGAAAAAAGAAATTGATTAAAAATAATGAGAAAATAACACATTTAAGTAACACACTATTTGAATTTCTTTTTTTTCCAATCTGTTCAAATCATATTTAAGTTTTATTGTACTTTTTTTTCTTGGATTGGTTCAATTTTTGAGCTGTATGATTTGAATTAAATTTGTTTCAGTTTTCTGTTGTTAGATATACTTTATCTTATATTGTTCATGTCTTTTTTTCTTTGATTGAAACAGAAAGAAGTGTTTATATGGTTCAACTGTTTTTATGTTTTTGATCTTTAGAATAAAGGTTACTGTATTTGATAACTGATCATTGATCACCGATGAATTTAATCAATTTTCATTTTATTTCAGTGGTATTTATGTGACATTTTTATAATTTGATTTTAACTGATTTCGACTAATATTTATTAACAATGAATTTATTATTTGTACCGTGGATTTCACAAGTTCATTGTGGTAATCGTAGTCCTATTAATCAGAGTGATTTATCGACTAATTCACAATCAGTGACCAGAATAATAGGCCAAGATTCAGGTGAATTTTTATTGAAAATTATTTAGTAATAGAAATTTTTTCAACAAAATTTATCACAAATGCAATAAAAAACCGAAAAAAAAAAGGAGAAGTTAAACAATATATTGTTTAGATTCAGAAGCAGATATTTGTGATGAATTGGAAGGTATCTTTTCAAAAATGAATCCAATCAGCAAATTTACAAAAAAAAGTGTGAAGGTAGAATTTTTCATTAAATATTATTTATGTCATTTTAGTCGTGACATTTGCATTAATTCCCTATTTCATTCATTTCAGTAAAGTTTTAAAATTTCAGAAAGGGAGTTTGGAACGAAAACCATTGCTCTCGGGACGAATTCAAGCATTAACAGGTGAAGAAAATGGATCAATTAGTGATCGACAAAATCGCTTATCAAGTTCGGATGATGAGGATGTGAAGTATTGTATGTTATTATTGTTATTGATTAAGTAGATATTACATATCTTATCCTAATATTCAAGAGGACTGAACAATATGTGAAAATTTTCAGTTAATGAAAATTATGGTTCGGTTGGAAATGCTGAATTTGCAAATATTATTAGTGATGCTATTCATGCAATACGTGAAGGAGTTTATCCTGAACGAATCCGGCAAGGATCATCTGGGTCATATTTCGTGAAGAATTGTAGTGGAGTGTGTAATTTATAGTTTCTTTCTTCAACTATATCCAAATAGCTCAGTCATTTAGTTTTTGTAGAATAATTCCTTGGTTTTTTTTTTTTTTTTGTGCAAAAACATCATTTTCAGAAAGTAGAATAACTTTTTTTTTTTCTCTCCCTTTCTCTGTTTAGGATATCTTAGTAATGAAGCAGCAAAATTCGTGAAGTATTTGTCATTTCTTACAGGAAACTATAGGTGTTTTCAAACCTAAAAATGAGGAACCATATGGTCAGTTGAATCCAAGATGGATGAAATGGATTCATCGTATCTTTTTCCCATGTTGCTTTGGGCGCTCCTGTCTTTTACCCAATCAGGTATGCTTTAAAAAATCATTTTTTTTTCTTCTTCGTGTGCTATAAAATATATGCTTTACTTCTTCACATTAATGCATTAATGTTAGCAATTCCAAGTAACCAGAGAGTTAAAGTAATTTGGAACCTTGATGCATCATTGCAGATCATTTTTCATTTGCTTGAAAAATTCAATCTTTTGGAATACTTTTCAAATTTTATCATAAATTTGGATTTCAATATGAAATTCATTTTTTGTCTTTTTTGTATACCTTAATAAGCCTTTTTTCTCCAGCTTTCATATTTATTTTCGTTTTTTTTTTTCTTGCAGTCTCCACCATGATCAATCCATGATTGCTTTTTTTTTCATTTTTCGTAAATAATTTATATAAGCTATTAGTTGTTTCTTCTCTATTTCAATTTTTTTTTTTTTTTTTGTTTTACCATCAGTAGTATAATTGACATAATTGGATTTAAATAAGTGAGTTAAATTAATGTTTATCTGTCCATATCTGATATACAGTTGCTAATCACAGTAATTTCACTATTAAAAAAAGCATGTTTTTCTTTTTTTTTTTTTCAATCAATTTTACGTATTTTCATCATATCAATAATAACAGTGTGAAAAACTGAAAAGATTATTTTATTTTTGGTAGAATGGCGTCACTCACTACAGACAACATTGATATTTGAAAAATAAAAATGAGATATAAAGGATGAAACAATATTATGTAAGATTTGGCAGCTGATATGATATAAGCTTGTGAATGATGCATTAAAGAAGCTATTAAGAAAAAAAAAAGGAACAAAAGACGATAATGGCTTTTCTTTTTCTTTTTTTTTTTTTTTAACTTGAAAAAAAATTATGCAAAAAAAGAAGTTCCATCCTAGATATGAATAATATTCAACGATAACATATATTAATAATGAGTGAAAAAAAAAAAAGAAAAAATCACGAAATTTGAAATCTTTTCCACTTGAAAAAAAAAAAAAGAGAGAAAATGGCAATACGAATTAGGATTAATTATATTTTATTGAATTCAAACAAATCATGCATATATCTGTAATTATTCATGTATAACTATTTTAATTTTCATCAGCTTTTCTTTATTTTCTCTCTTTTTCCAAGCAAAAATATTGTAATTTATTTTTTAAAAAAAAAATATTAAAAAACGATGATTATACATAATACGAACAAATGACCTTGAAAAAAATCCTTTTAAATTCAAAAAAAAAAAAATTAATGGATAAGAAAAAAAAAGTTGAATTTTGATCCATTTATTATAATTGTTAGGAAAAAAAAATCAAAAAAATTTTTCTTTTTGTTTTTTGAAAAGCCATTCCTATTGTTAGTATATAATGCTAGCAAATATAAGCACATAAAAATGATAATGATTAATTTTAAAGAAAATTTTTACCATAATCTAACATACTGGTTACCAATAGTTATTGTAATAGTAAGAGTAATAGTAACAGCAGTAGTAGTAAGTAATAGCAGTAGTATTAGTGGCAGTTCAGCATTTCGCTCGAATTGTTAATTGTATGGAAATTGTAAGTTTTATTAGTTGTAATTATTCTTTTTATTCTTGAGATGTTTGAGATGGGGTACTTGGCTCTGAAAAAAAAAAGAGAAAAAGAAGAAGAAAGAATTATTGGTTAATGCAAATTTTTTTTTTATTGTTAATAATATAATCTAAGCTATATTCTTTTAAAAACATCTTTGATAAAAAAAAAATTTTTTTTCAATTCTAATTGATTTTATTTTGCATCTTCCAATTTGCTGGTTTTCATAACGATAACTGTCTTTGTTCGTCTTTCTAAAATTATAAAATAAAAAAAAAATAACGAATAATTTTTTGCAATCGAATGCAATAAATGAATTAAAGAAGTGATTTAGAAATTAGATGAGGTTTTATTTTTCAATGATGAAAGCTAATTATTTAATTGTATCTTAGCATACAACAATATCACTAATGTGTTATGAAGAAATATTAATTTAAAAATTATAAAATTTTTTTACTATAAAATATTCTTGAAATGTAGGAAATTTTCTATCTTCATATGTTGTTAAGGAAATAACACAATATGAAAAGAATTAATACCTTCAATTTCCTTTGAAGGTTCTAGAGTTTCAATTTTGATTTTATCTGAAGTTGTACTTCCAACCATTGATGGATGATATGATGATGATGTTGAAATGTATGATTCACGTTGCGTATCTGCAAAAATTTTTCTTTTTTCATTTAAATATAAATTAATTAAAATGAAAAAAAAAATTAAATGTTAAATTCATTTATTTCTTTTAACTAACCCTGATATTGTGTTGGTGTAGAAGTTCCAAGAGGTGGTGTAAGCGGATTAGAAGCAAATGTTGATCGTATATATCTTCTAGAATAATCAAGAAATATACTATAAAATTATTAATTAAAAAAAAAAAAAAAAACAGGAAAAAAATATAAATAAAAGATGAAAAAAAAAAAAAAAGAAATACTTACGTTGCTCCTGCACTCATATAATCTTCTCCTAAATGTGGTAATATGCCAGCACTATGAATTCCACCAGCACTTCTTAATCCTAAATAGCCACCACCAAGTCTTCCAATATCACCAGCTAAACTTCGATCAACATAATCACGACGACGTCTCCTTTCATTATCCAATTGTTCTCTCATAATGCTAAGTTGATTTTCCAATTGTTTAATACGGTTTTGTTGTGTACGTTCACGATTTTCTATTATTCGTTCGATCTTAAATATATATATTTATTAAAATTTAAAAATATACATACATTTGATATTATTATATTTTTTATATATTAAAAAATATTAATAAATTCTTTTTCTTTTTTTTTTTTTTTATTCAGAATAGAATATATTATTGAATTGGAGGGGGGAGGTTTTTTTTTTTTTTTCCTTTTTTTTCAACATATATAATAAGATTTAATGATATATTAAAAATTATGATTTTTCAAAATTTAATAAAATTTTGCATATTTAATACATACTTGAATTTTTTCATTTCTCATTCGTTGTAATTGTTTATCTTGTTCTTCACGTTGTTTACTACTAATTTCAATGATACGATTACCATTTTCAAATTCCAATTGTGCAATTTGTTTTTGCAATTGAGCACAATTTTTGTAAAGTTCCTATAATAAATTACCATTTATAACGTTAGATATTAAAAAAAAATTTCTAATATCATATTTGATTATTTTTACTCAATTTTTTAATCATGTATGACTAAAAATATAAATGAAAGAGCAAAATTAGAATTTTTTTTTTTTTTTTTTAAAAAGGAAAAAAAAAAACCAAAGTGAAAATTTAAGATTCTTTATGAATGGAAAAATTTTTGTCATAAATAAATTATTTATCTCAAATTTTCAATATATCTCTAAATATTTAGTACAAATAAATAGTTTATTTATAAAACCTTATTTTCTCTTTCCATTGCATTCAATGATTTCTCAATAGCTTCACGTTGTAAGGCAGTTTCACGGATTGCTGCATCGGTACGTCGTTTTTCATTTTCCAGCTATAATTTCATTATTTTTGAAAGTAATACGGGAAAATTTTCATTCCATTTATTTGCTTGTTTAATTCTAATTTATGAATAAAATTATCAGATATTATTACTTGATTCATTAGAAAAGAAGAAAAAAAAGGAGAAGGATAATCATAAAGTTATTGATAATTATAAATTTTTAAAATTCATTTTGATAATAATTACCATTTCAATTTTTTTAACAAATGTAATTCGATCACGTTTGGTATTTTCAAGTTGGCCTATCATTGTTCTTTTTTCATTCTCTAACTGTGCTAATCTTCGTTGAATTTCATCAAGTTCACGTTGTAGTGTTCTTCGTTCATTCTTACAACTTTCAACTTGTTGCCTAAGGTCATCTTCTGTTGCTCTTTGTGTTGATGTTACCTGTAATTTACAATCATTTCATTAGGAAATTAAAAAGACTAGCAAAGGAAAAAGAAAAAAAAAAAGTGACTTGTAAGATATTTATTACATCTTTTTGGAATACAATATATCTATATCTATAAAAAGGTAAGCAAGCGATAAAAAAAAAGGTAAGATAAAGTAAAACAGAAAAAAAAAAATGCAAAACAAAGTAAAATAGCAATTACGAAAAAATTCAAGATACAATAAAATAGCAATTTAACAATTAGTAAAAATAAATATATATATTTATCAAATAGAAAACCTTTTCAAGAGCTAATAATCTTTCTTCGAGACGATTTTTCTCTGCATGAGCATCTTGTAATTGTCGTTGCAAATCAGATGCTCGGCCACTTAAATCACGCATACGTTGCTTAAAATCACGTAGTTCACTTCGTGCTGTTGTTAATTCATGTTCAAGTTGTTGCTTTTGATTATTTGCATTTGCTAGATCATTTTGTGCACCAGTTATCTGAAAATTTTTATTATCTGTATAAAAATTATATATAATACTAACAAATATGAAATATAAAATGTTAATTAAAGTTTATGATTTAATAATTGAACAAAAAAATATGAAATGAAATAAATTTTACTTGATCTCGAAGAATTTGATATTCACTAATTGTTCTTGATTGATGATCTGAAGTTTTTCGAAGTTCCATTTCAACACTTTCAGCTTTTGAAAGTTCTCTTTTCAATCTTTCCATATCTTCTTTCATATCGGTACATTTTATTTCACTTAATTGTAACTGTCCAGAGAGTTCTTTTATTCGTTCATTCAAAGACTAAAAAGTAAAAAAAAAAAAAAAAAATTCAAACTTATATAATTTTTAATAAAAAGTAAATGGTGAAGTGTTAAAAAAAAAAAGAGTATAAAAAATTATTTTATTTACCTGTTTTTCACTTTCAAGGTTTGTCTGCAACAGATTAAGTCGTTGTGTTTCACCTTCCTTATCTCGAAGTTTACTTTCAAGTTGAAAACGATTAGCATCCCATTGTTCTTCACGTTCACGTAAAGTTCGTAAATCAGCTTGTGTACTTTCCAAATCATTACGTAAATTCTTTAGTTGTTCCTATCAATAAAATATATTTATAAATTACATAAATGTATGATAAAATTTTCATTTATTATTTTACAAATGATTTTGATACATAATTTAGTGATAGTTAAAATTAATTTGCTAACATTAAGATGTCGTAGTTGTGCATCTTTTCCGCGTGCTTCCAAATCTGCTGCTACCATTTTAGCTTTTAATTGACGTCGTTCTTCATCTCGTTGTTTTAATGCTTCTTCTTGTGAACGTAACAATTGTTTAGCTGATGCTAACCGTACTTCTAATGCACGTTTCTCTACAAATTAAAACATTTAATTTCCTTTTTTTTTTCTTTTTTTTTAAAAAAGAAACTAAAATTAATTATTTTATTAATTTATTACCTTCTTCCATATCGGTTAAATTTTCTTCAATAGTTTTATAGCGTGTTTCATGTTTATGAATGGTTGTGTGAGTATCACTCGTCTTTTTCTTCAGACGATCAAGAGCCTCACGGTACTCATTCTGTAATATTCATAATTTATTATTTATAATGATTATCTTAGAAATTAAAAAAATATAATATTAATTGTTTATGAAAGATTAATATTTAAGAAATAATACTTACTCTTTCACGCTCTAATCGTTCAATTCGACCAATTAATGTTTGAAGAGTATTTTCAAGTTGATTAATATCAAGTGTTTCACCGATATTAATAGTTGTTGCTGTAACAGTTAATATTAAATTATATACAACCATTATAATTACATAATTTAATTTAGTCAAAACAAATATTCCTAAATTTATTAAATAATTCAAATATAGGATTCATTATACCTGTACTTTTTTTCTTTGTTATTATCATTTAATATATTTGTTAAGTAAAACAAAATGAAAAAAAAAAAAAAACACTGATTAACTACCAGTGCGTCCTCCCGCAGTGGTATAATCAACGGATGGTGGGAAAGGAATTGAACGTGGTATTTCAGTTTCAATTAACTGATCACGATCAACATCTTCCTGAAATATTAAAAATGAGTAGTAGGATTAGTAATAATAATAATAATAGTAAATAATGGTAGTAAATAATAGTAATAATAATAGTAAAATTTTGAATTTCTCATCATATATTTTTGTTACTTTTTATAGTTATTTAGCAAAAAAAAAAAAAAAAATAAAACAAAATAAAATTTTACTTAAAATTTTAATTATTTATATAAAATTACCTTTACTTTATGTAATGTTACCGCATGTGTTGTAACAGAATAGAAGCGTTTAAGTGAATCAGCCATAATATCTCTTTCATTTTCCACTTTATTATAATCATGTTGTAGTGATGTTAAGCGTTGTTCCGTATTTTCAAATCGTGACTGAAAAAAATTTACAAAATATTTTTGAAATACATTTGAAAAAAAAGAAAAGTATATAAATATATGTAAATATAAAAACTCAAAATATATTTATAATGCTATTATTTATTTTAATATCAATAAAAAAATGCTTTATTTAACCTTTAAATCAGCTAATTCATATTTTCGTGATTCTAATTCTTGTAATGCATTAAGACGTCCATCTTCAGCAGCTCGATGTGCATTTGCTAGATCTTCCAAAGATGATTGATATTCATCTGTTCGACGTACCATTTGATCTTTACCAAATTGTAACTCTTGTTGTAATTTAGTAACTTCAGAGCGTAAAGTATTACGTTCTGTTTCAGCAGCAATAAGCTAAAAAGAAAAAAAAAAAAAAAAGGATTTTTCTTTTTTGTTAAATGTTAAAGAAAAATTATAAAATTGTTAAAGAAAAAATTATAAAATTAACAAACCTTATCTGAGGTATCACGAAGATTTTGGCGCATTTTATTCATTTTAACATCAAATGATTGTACCAATTGGGTAAGATGATCTAATTGTTTCACTTTATCACGATAAATATTTTGTAATCGTTCTCGCTAAAATTTAAATTCTATTGAATTTTACTGTTTCTTTTTTCTTCCTTTCTTTTTTTTCTACAACGCATAAAAATTTTAAATTACAATAGAAATAAGAAGTGTGAGAAAATTTACTTCTGCTTTAAGATGATCAAGTACATTCTTTTGTTCTTTAATTGTTACTTCATATTGTTGAATTTTATTTCTAAGACGTTCAAGTTCAGATTCTTGATTGATATTTGTGCTCTATAATTTAAAAAATTTTTCAATATTATTTGTTCTTCATTTATTTTATATGATAAATTTTAATAAAAATTTTCTTTTCCTTTTTTTTTTTTTAACTTAGTTAAATTTTATTTGTATAATTTTGATTGATTTTATATTATTCAAATAGAAATCTTCATTTACCTTAAGTAAATCATATTCTCTTTGTAAAATTTCTAACTCATTTCGTGTTTTAGCATGTTCACTTTGTAATGTAGCATACTGATCTTCCACGGAACGTAAACGTGCTAATGCATTTTCCAAATCTGATTCACGTGTTACAGCAGCAGATTTTAAATCTGATATTTCTTCTTCAAGACGTCGAATTTGTGTATTCACTATAATCATTATAAATCTTTCATTACTTTTTTTTTTTTTTTTCATTCATAAATAAAGATTAAAAGTTTTTTAAAGTTGGGTTTTTTTTTTTTTTTAAGTATAAAATACATACAATCTCTTATCTTGCTATTTTGATCATTAACTGTTTTATTTAATGATTCAGCTCGTTCATTAGCTGCCGTAAGTTGTGTTTTGAGTGCATTATTTGTAGTTTCAAGTGCCTTAAGCTCTGATCGTACTGAATACACTTCAGTCTTCCATTTTTGTATTTCCTAAAAAATAAATAAAAAATATAAAAACAAACAAACAAAATAAAAATTTTCCAACAGTATTTTTTTAAGTGCTTATCAAAAAAAAAAAAAAAATTTTTTTTTTTAATTAAAAATGTATTTACATTTTCCGCTTCCTGTCGTGCATCATCTAAGTCATCTTTAAATTTTTGAATTTGTATTAATGCTTGTTCATATTTTTCTTTTAATTCTGCTTTTTCACGTTCCAATTGATTTTCACGATTTTGTGCTTCAGCAAATTTTCTCTCAGCTTCGGCAAGTTTATTACGAAGTTCATCTTCAACAAGTTTAATCGATTCTAAATTCTGCAAAAATTTTCTCTTCATTTTATATTAGCCAAAAAATATATATATATATATGTTTTAATTTGATTTGATCATTGAACAGAGCACAATAATATGAATAAGTGTTTTGATCTAAGTTAAATTACCTTATTGTATTGCTCTTTTTCATCATCAAGATCATTTTGATGTTTATCATGAAGTTGTGACATTTCACTTCGTAATCTATCAATTTCTTCTTGATGTTTACGTTTCAATTCTGCTATATCGGTTTCTTGTCGTTCAATTTCACGATTTTTTTGCATAATTTGATCTTCTAAGTCACGAATTTTACGCTCAAGTTCATCCTAAAATTTTAACCTTTTATATATGTAAAATAATTATTTAAAAAAAAAAAAAAACTTTTTTTTAGCAAGAAGACTATTTCTTTTAAAGAAGGAAAAAAAAAATGAATTGAATTAAACCTTTTCACTGAGAAGTTTATCAAACTCAAGTTTCCATTTATCATTAACTTCTCTAATGCGTATTTCATGTATTTCAGTATCATAAACTGTTGGACCACTTGGAGCAAGTGAAATTTTATCTAAAAATTCGAGCAATTTTTAGAAACAAAAAGAAAAATTCCTCCTTTTTTTTTTTGTTTAAACAAATTAAACCAAGTATACCTGTTTCCTCTGATTCATCTTTACGTGTACCACGTGAACTACTTTCAATTTCTTGCTCTAATCGTCTAATTTTTTCTGCAAAAAATTATGGAATGAAGTAGAAATATTTTCGAATTATACTAATAAAAGCATAATAATTATTAAATCATTTATTAAAAAATAAAACAAAAAAAAGTTTAAATAAATTCTAAACAGCTTTATTTATTTTTATTTTATCATATTTATATATTCATTTAAAAACAAAAATACGGAAAAGAAAAGATCCACTTTCAAGTTCTTCTATTTCTAGTTTTGTCTCTTCAAGTTCTTTTTGCAAAAGATGTGAACGATTTGTTTCTTTTGTTAATGCATCACGTGTCCGTTCTTCTTGTTCAGTTATTGTTCGATTTTCGATTCTTAATTTCTCAATTTCTTGTTCCAATTTTCGAATTTGTTCTTTCCAAATTTCAGCATCACTTTCACCTTTTAATTTCTGGCTAAAAAAAGGGGAAATTAATGTAAAAAAAATCATTTATCAAAAGTTTCTTCTTTCATTTATAATTTAAAAAGCAAAAGAAATTAACAATTGGCATTTTTCTTTTTTTGCTATCGCTTTTTTTTAAATATATAATACAAACTTGATAGCATCTTGCTTTTCTCTTTGAAGACGACTATTTAATTCATTCAATCGAACAGTTTCTTTTTGACTTGTAATTAAATCATTTTCAATAGCAGTTATTTTAGCTTGACCACTTTTAATTTGTGTATCAAGTTCATCATTATGTCGTCGTAGCATACTTAATTGATTTTCGTAATCCGTAATTTGAAGTTTAAGTTTTTCAATTTCTTTTGTTAAACCTGTAAAAATCTTTTTTTTTTCCGTTTTCTTTTTCTTTCATTTAGTAATAAAAAAAGCTCTAAAATATTAAAATTTATAAAAAATGTTTTTCAAAAATTAGAAAAGAAAAATTTCACTTACGGCTCGTTGTTTTTTCCGCTTCTTCTCGTGCTGCTTTTTCATTTTCTAACTGATGCTTCAAATCAAACATTTGTCGTGAAAGCTCATCTTTTTGCTTACTAAAAATAAAAATAATTAGCATGTAATTAATGTATAAGGAAAAAAATTTTTTTTTTTTTTTGCTTTCTTTTGCAATAATTTTAAGAAAAAAAAAAAAAAACTAAACTTATCTGTGATTTATCCATAGATAATGTTAAAACCAAAAACATAATCACATCATTTTTCGTATCTATTAAATAGAAGTCTCAACCAGTCAAACAAAAGTAATTCTTTAAACATAAAATGAAATGAAGAGAGGAAGAAAATTGTAAAGGTGGGAAAAAAAAGAAGGAAAAAAAAAACAAACAAACAAACAAACAAATGAAAAGCGGAAAACAAATGGATTTTGTTGTGCTGTAAGCAATATGAGATGATCAAATGAAATGAAAAAAAGAAATTATGCGAAAAAAAAAAAGGAAAAGTAATTCTTTTTTCTTTCTCTCATTTCATTTATTTGTATTTGGTTTTTAATTGAATAAAGATTAATGAATTATTAGCTGATAAATTATTTTAATTAAATTATATTAGAGAAATTAATCATAAAATAATGATTATTTTGAAATTTATCCTTTTTATTTTTTTTTTAAACAGATTTCTTGCTTATAATTTATATGTTTTTTTTTTTAATTTTTTATTCATTTTTTTTTCTGTTAAAAATGAAATGAAATTCATATATTTGTTTGAATTGTTAATTAATTAATTTTGTTACCTATATTCATCACGTTGTTGTTTAATTTCACGAAGCGTTTGTTCCAGTGTTGTAGTTGTCTTATTTGCATTTTCATATTCATTATTTAATTTATCAAATTCAGAATTTAAAGCGTCATAACGTGTTCGCTGTTGATCAAGCTCATTAGTTAATTGACGTTTCGTTTCATCAAGATGACGTAGTGCAGTATCTAAATTAAAAAGAGGAAAAAATTTCCTTTTTTTTTTTTTTTTTCAAAAGTTAATTTAATTTCTTCATGTGATTTCTTAATTTATTAATTTCAAGCATATCAAAACTAAACATTCCAAAGTGAAATTTTCAATAAAACTTTTTTCTTTTTTCTGCTTTTTTTCCAAAAAATTAATTTGATTTCTTTAAATAATTAGATTATTCATTTTAACTACTGAAATTAAACATTTCAAAAATTAAATTAAATATTTAATGTAAACCTTTTTCTTCCAATTTTCTTAGTGTAATATTATATTCATTTTCAGTATCACGATATTTATCTCTCATTGTGTTTAATTCTGTTTTCAATTTCGTATTATCACGCTGAATTATTTCGATGCGATTTTTTAATTCATTAATCCTAAAAATAATTGTTTAATTTAGAAATATTAGCACATAGTTTAATTAATATTATTGAAATTATAGTGTTTAATTCAAATTCAAAATTTTTAAATATATTTACCGATTTTTATATTCTTCCTCAAATCCAAGATTAATTTCTTGTTGTTTATCGCGAGCTTTTCGTTCTTCCTCAGCTGTTGCTTTTTGATATTGTCTATAAATGTTCTTTCTTATTTTCGTCCTTTCATGATATAAATTTAAATTTAATTAGTTTTGTGAAAAGTAAATTTTAGAGGAAAATCTTACTATCAAACTAATAGAAAAAATTTTTAAAATTTAGTAAATTAAGAAAAAAAAAATACCAAATGAATTATGAAGAAACAAATATAAAATTATTTTTTCATATATTTAATTGAAAATTTAAATTAATTAGATATACAATTACTAACTGATGTAATTTATTTATCTCTTCTTCCAGGAATTTTCTAGCTTTTTCAATTGCTGCTTTTTCTAAATCAGCAGCACGTAAACGTTCTTCCAAACGTCTTATTTGACGTTCTGCATTATCCAAACTTTTAATTCTGAAATTTAAAATTTGCAAAATTTTTAAAAATTTTAAGTAAAGGGAATTTTTTTTTTTTTGTCTGAATTTTTGTTAAAATTTCATACTGATTTGTCAGGTCACGTTTACTTTCAGCCAAATGTTTGTCTAGATAACGTCGAGCTTCATCAGCATGTTCAAATTTGTTTACGAATTCTTTCACCTGAAATAACAGTAATATTAGAAGCAATGATGTGAAATATAAATTTGTTATAAATTGAACTAACTCTAAAAAATTATTCATTAAATTATTTTAAAACATTTTAAATTTAATTTTAATTTACCTGGCCTTCAATAATTTTTAGTTTTCTTTCCAATTGTTGTATCTGGCTATCTTTGTTACGAATAATATTACGAACGCTGCGTAAAGCTTCCGATGGTGGCAGTGGTGTACCACCTATATAAACTATTAGTTTTTTTTTTTTTTTTTTTTGAAATTATTTTATCAGAGTTAAAATTTATATTGTTTTAATTTTATTCATTGAAAAAAAAAAAAACTTACCTAATCAAATTTTATTACTTTATCTTCTCATTCAATACCTTTTTTTTTTTTATTACCTGGAGAAAGTGAGCGTGTTCTTTTCTCTCTTCCTGGTTCACGAGAAGCATCCTGAGCTAATTCATGTAATTTACGAAGTGCAACCTATAAATAAACAAACAAAAAAACACTCAAAAATTAAGATAAAACTTTCAAAAAAAAAAAAAAAAAAAAATTAAATCAGATTAACTTGATTATCTGAAAGGCGTTCTTTAGTTCGTTGAAGTTCCGCTTCAAGTGCAGCATTCTTACGTTGTGCTTCATCACCTTTTGATTCAAGCTCAATATTTCTTTCAATGCATTCTTCATATCTATAAATAATTATTTGTCTTTTTTCTTTTACTTCCTTTCTTCTATTATTGTAATATTGCATATTTTTTATTTTTGCTAAATTTTGATTTAATTTTTGATTTTTGGTTTATTCATTTATTTTTACCTACTTTTTCATAAGTTCATTGTATAAATCTGCATCAGCAGTTGAAGCATTTGCAAATTTTAATTGATCAAACATCTGTAATCCTGTTTGATTTGCATTTTGTTGTTGACTTTCGCGTATTCTTTTAATTGCTTCAATTAATACAGTATCTTGACTAATTGTTTCACCTCCTCCACGGTTACTTTCAATTAATAATGGTTCTTTAATGCCACTATATCCACCCTGTAATATTAATATTTTAAAATAATAACAGAAATTTTCATTATTTAATAATAATTATAACTATTATTATTGGTGAAATATTAGAATTTTGAGGTGTTTTTTTTTTTTTTTTTATTAATTAAATTTTATTTTATATAATGATACTACTTTCTTTGTTAAATAATTTTTATAAATTAAAAAAATTTTTCATCTACAATTTTATATTTAAGTTACCTCAACACCAACAAGATTTAATTGTCTTGTTAAGCCTCCAACATTTCGAATTATTCGTGTGAATTCATTACGTTGATTTTCTAAATCATGTTCGGTTTGCTCTCGATGTTGAATTAGTTGTCGACGAACACGTTGTAATTCAGCCCATAAATCCATCATCTTTTTTTGTTCTTCACTTAAGTACTGAGTAAGATTCTATAAGAAAAAAAAAAAAAATTTTTTTTTCAATATATTTAAATTTCTTTGCAAATTTAATTAAATAAGAATTATTGGTTAATCTTTTCTTCTTTCTTTCTTTTTCTTTTTTTTTCATTCTTTCTTTTTTCTTTTTTTTTTTTTTTCAATTTAAGAAAAAAATTTTATAAAAAATATTCCTACTCTTTCACGTGTTTTATAAATTCGTTCATTTTCACGTATGTTTGTTTCAAATTGTTGACGTAATCGTTCATTTTCATGCAATAATTGATCATTTTGAATACGTTCTTGTTCCAATTGTATCCGATAGTCATCAACTCTTTAAGATTTAATTACTTTTTGTTTAGCATTTTATTTAGTTATTTGTTTTCACTTTTTTTTTGCTATACAACTCATATATTAATAATTGATTATTTAAATAAAAATTTTAGATTATAATAAATTAGATTGGAAATTAAATAAGATATTCTATTAGATAAATTCATATTTATTTTAAATAAAAATTTCATACCTTCGACGTTCCTCATCTAATTTTGCTATAAGATGATAATCACTATCATCAAAGCCTTTTTTAGGACTCCATAATGTTTCATCTTTGTATTTTCCATCAGGATATACCGCTGAATCAATTAATGTAAACGATGAAGGTTCATCTGATCGACGTGTTGCTATTCGACTTTCAAGATCAGTAATATGTCGTCGATATTCTTGTACCTAAATTATATGAAAATTATGCCAAAAAAAAAAAAGAAACTTTTAACTTTACATTTAAAAACAAAAGAAAAAAAGAAGCGAAATTTTTTAAACCTTATGTTGTAATGCTGATATAAGATCAGAATATTCTTTTTGATGCTCTACATTAGCATCAATCCGTTGACGATACTTATTGAGATCTTCCTGAGTACGATCAAGTCGTGCTGCCGAAACACCTTTTCCGTAACTGTCTATTTCAAGCATCAAATCGCTATCAAATGAATCCGAAACGTGATAAACGTTTTCACCATTGGTATCCCTGTATTCATGCCGGAAATTGAAATGCATATTAGATTTCCCTTATTTAAAGATTATTTATAGATATTTATTTATAAAGAAGTATTTACTTTTACATTTTCTTAATATTACCTAAGCTTATATCATCATGAAATGAGTAATGTATTGTTTTTTTTTTTTAAAATTTTTGAAGCAAAAAATGGATAAAAAAATTTTTTAAAAAAAAAAATTGAATAATCAAAATTACTTTCAAATTTTGTTTTTTGTTTCTTTTTTTTAAGAAAAAAATGTAATAATTTTTTGATTTTTGAAAAGAAATTAATTATTTTTGATAAAGTTTCTCCTTTCATAAATTCATAATTTGGAGCTTTTTTTCTCGTAATAATTTAAGTTCACTAATATTTAGAAAATCCAATTTGCTTTTTTTTCTTTTCATAATCTGTCCAAATAATTTGAATTTTTAAGTAGTGATTTTCTTTTTCTTTTTTTCAAAATATGGTATAAGCAATTCTTTTTTTTTTTTTAAGTTTTTATCTCAAATTGTATATCCGTTTCTCCTAAAAATTTATATAAATTTTTTTTTTCTTTTTTATGATCCGCGGCATTAATAATAATTTTTTGGAATTTCTATCAAAATTTACGAAATTACCTTCATTAGAAGGAAGAAGAAAAAAAAGGAAAGACTTATTCTCAATTTGACTTCATTTTTTCAGTTTTTTTTCCTTGTCATAGACATAAAATTGGCTTTCTTTTTCTTATATTATTATTCCTACTAACATTTCTTTTTTTTTTCGTCTGAGATTTTTCCTATTTTCATGATTTTATTACGGGTTTTTTTGTTTTATTTTTTTTTTTTTTTTTGGAAAAATAAATCGGCGACTACATTAAATTTGAAATATATACTTTTTTTTTTTAGTCCTTAACATTACTTCTTTTTCATTCATATCTTAGCAATTTGTATGTTTTAGCATTTGAAATAAAATATGATTAATAATGAAAAGCCATCCGGAAAGACATTTCAGTTTTTATTACCTGACAATTATTACCTGACAACGTATGATGTGAATTGAATAGGAATGAAATTTTAATCTGTTTATTTAATGGAAATCTCTTTAAGAGAATTTATTATTTATTACTATGTAAGGATGTAAATTTCTGCTGAAATTTTATAGCACTATCAAAATATGGGTAGAATATTTAGTATGACAGGAATTAGGATTTTTTTTTTTTCTTTTGCACTTTTATTTTTTTAACTTTTGAAAGTTTAACGAGCAAAATATTTTGTTTTATCAGTTTAGAATTTCAAATTAAAATTTTTATTTTCAAACATTATTAATAAATTAGCAAGTGGTAGTAAATTGATTTATCTTGTTATTGTTACTTACCAATAAAATTCTCCGTAATTGGAACGTGATCCGGGACTATCCGGTATACGACTGATTAATTCGCTAGGTTGAATGCCACCACTTACATCAGCACCTTCATCCATTTTTGTTATAACTGCTAAAAATTTTTATTTATCAAAAACAAAAGAAAAAAAAAAAAGAAACCTTTCAATGAAACGGAAAAAAAAATTATTCCTTTTTATGCAGCAAAATAAATTGTTAGTATGATAAGAAATTGTGTATAAAATGCAAATTAGCAATTTGTTAAAATTAGCAAATATTAGAAATGAAGATTAGATGGAAGTTATTTTGTATAATAAATTAAAATGCAACTTTTAACCATATCTAAATTTTCTTTCATTTATTTTCTAAAATAAAGGAAAAAAAAATTCATAAATTTTGATTTCTTCGTAAATAACGATTTGTTCATAAATAATTAAAATGTTTTTAAAAAAAAGGATGCATGCAACATACATTTATAAATATTAGCTTTTTTTTTAAAAAAAAAAAAACTTTATAAAGATTTTCTTCTATATCGTAATTTTTTTTTTCCTTTTTTGAGAAATAACTTTATATTAATTAATTTAGAAAGCATAATTTGCACGGAAGTAATCTGAAAATAACACTTCAATTGTTACTTTACTCAATTAGTTAAAGTTTTTTTTTTTTTTTTCATATAACAATATTTGCTAGTAATCATTCCTTTTTATCTATTTATTTATTTTAATAAAAAATTTGAATTCTTTTAAATGAAATATGGAAATAAAAATAATCTACAACACATATGGAAAGGCATATAAGAAGACAATATTATCACTTTATCAATTAACCAATCAGTCAATCAATTAATTAATCAAATTTATCAGTTGCATAAAATTTACCCACCTGATTCTTCACGTAATAATCTTTCTCTTTTTTGAGCTTCAAAAACTTCCTGTTGTTCAGTTGATGTAAGTGCACGAAATTTCACTTGTGATGTTACACTTGTCCACTGGCCAGGTTGTAAAATTTCAGTGCGTGAGCTACTGCGTGAATTACTACGACTTCTTAAATATGGGCTATCTCGTGTAGGGCTATTAGCATAAGTTCGAAATGTTTCTGGACACGATGCTGACCCTTGGCTATTTCGTCCAGATTGCACTTCACGATGATGCTGCTCAATTGATGAATTTGATCGTTGTGGTAATTGTTCCTGATCGAATACAACGATACGATTTTTAACGTTTGCACTACCACTGCAGGTAAAGAGCATGAACCTGCTCAGCTTGCATTATCAGTTTATTGTTGAAAGGTTACTTACTTCCTTCCAAGATAATATCCTTTGTTCCACTATTAAATTTTCCTATGATGATCAATGTAAATTTTCTTTTTTTTTTTTTCATAATAATAGTAATTCATTTTCGAATTAAATTAATCTCGTAATATCAATTTTCTTTTTTTTTTTTTTTTAAAAAAAAAAGAATAGATATACATAGTGAAATTTTAATATATGTTTAGAAAAAAAAATTTTTTTTTTTCTCGAATAATTTTAATAATAGGAAAAATTTTTTGATAAATATTTTTTTTTTTTCATCCATAAAAATTTATGTATGGATGATATAAATTTTAGAACAACCATAAATGAGTGTATAAAACATTTAACATACATATATATATATGTCATATTTAAATGATTTTCATTGATAGAATAAATTTAAAAGTAAAAAAAAAAAGTGAATGAATTAATTAGCTTAAGCTACATGCATAAACGCTTAAAATATTAGCTATTTTATCCATAATTTTTTTTTTCTGTTTTCAATTTTATCAATCACAAATAACAATAAAGCCTTACTTACATATAAATATGCTATATGTCCTAGACTTTATAATCAATATGAAAAATGTTATTGCGACAGCTGCATTTGGATATAGCCAAAATGATGTACAATAAGTATGTGTCCCCCTTTTTTTTTTTTTTTTTTCCTAGGCTAACATCAAAGCTATTAGCTGCACTTTTTTTTTTTCTTCTTTCTTTCTTTCGAAATATATTCTTAACAAATCGATTTATCAATATGTCTAGAATTAAAATATATGTATATTTTTTATATATAATATATAGAAATAGAGAAAAATTTTGTTACTAAAAGGATGATTGTCAGATTGAAATAATGATTGGTGGTAATTTGCAGTTTGAATTAAATGTTTTGTTAATGCTTAAATGAAAATTCATTTAGATATGAAATTGAACGAATGATATAAAATATAAATTGAAGAAAAAAAAAAGGAAAAAAAAACAAAACTAAGATTTAATCTTTTTTATTTCCTTTCATATAATGATAGTAATAATAAATATATCTATTTCTTAGTAAAAACAAAAAAATATGTAATGAAATTATTTAGTATAACTTTTTTTTTTTCTCTTTATCACTTTTACTTAATGGTTATCAGTGAAACTGATAATGCTAGCTTTTGAATGATATTTTACAAAGTAATATTAGTGGTAATAATTCTAATAATAATGATAATAGTGAAAGCAAAGCAATTTAGTAGTGAAAGTAATAATTGATATTTAATTGTGATAGTTGTAAATGATTTTTAAAAAAGAGCAAGTAAACAAATATATAAGTAAAAAAAAAAAAAATGGAAAAATATAAATATCATTGATGCCCTATAAATTTAGTATAGGAAAATAAATAAGAAAGAAAGAGAAGAATGAAAAAAAGAAGAAATGAAAATTGGAAATAGATAATGAAAGAAAATTTCAAATGGATGGAAATTGAATAATTTCCTCAATGAATAAAAACTCATTTCATTAAAATGATAATTTTCTATCATATAATAATTGTTTATGATAACAAATATTACTTTTATTGAAATTAAGCAATTTTACAGACTAAAATAATATTTACTGAAAAGTTATCAATATAATTTCAATTGAGAATTCTTTTTTTTTTTGCGCAAAAATAAAGAAATAAGGAAAAAAAAATGAAATTACTTTCATCAGTAATAGAATATATGTATAATTTATATTCCCTTAAAAATATATTTGTATTAAACGTAATCTATTAACTAGACCGAAGGCATTGATATAGTTAATAAGGAAAACATTGTTACATTTTGAAATTTGAAAATACACAAACAATAATTTCACTTTATTATTCATCGATTAAAATATTAAATAAAAGAGAAAACAAGAAAATTCCAAGGGTTTTTTTTTTTTTCATTTTTCTTAATTTATACTATATCATTTTTTTAATTAATAATAAAATTAAGCATCTAAATAAATCAATAACAACAATACTGATGAAAACTCAATTTAATTTGCATTTATTACAACCATTTTACACTTCCACAATTATTTTTTAGTGATGGATTTTTCTAAAAAAAGAAATAAAAATAAATATATGCAAATATGTTTAATTCTGAACATATTGTAAGACTTAATTTATTAGAAGTAGAAGTAATAGATCAGCATATTTAGTGTTAGTTCGAAAAAAAAAATACTTTTTTTCTTTAATCATTTATCATTTTCTTTGTAATTATATCAAATCCATTAAAATGTATTTGTCAATTTGATGAAATCGATAAAATGAATTGCTATTTTGGTAGTGATTGTTAATATTATAATACGATGAACAAATGCTTATAATAAGCCATGAATAAAATTAATTTGAGAATAATTTTTTAATATTATATTGATAGAAATAGTAGTAGTAGTAGTAGTAATTATTATTATGTTGTTGTTGTTGTTTACTACTTATAGTGGTAGTAAATAGTAATAGTAGTATTAGGAGTAGTAATAGTAGGAATGAAGCTAATGATAATCATTGGTACGAAATGTTAAAGTGAGTCAAAAGCTGAGGATATGTAAGCGATGATGTGGGAAGACCTAAACATGGCGAGGTTGAAAGGAGGAATTTCATGAGTTTGATCGATTTTTAACTTTTGCAAAAAGAGTCGAGAAATAGAGTGAAATTTAGCAAGCTATATAAGAGTAAACTAAGTGAGGGGCTTTAACAATATTGATCAATACTGTTTTTATTCTTGTAAGGAAAGAAGGAAAGAAAAAGAAAGGAGACAGATGAATATAGTTAATATTACTTTAAAAAAAAAAAATAAATAAAATAAAAACTAAAACTAAAGACGAGACGTAAAATTAAGTGCAAAAAAAAATAAATTTTTTCCTTCCTTTTTTTCTCATGAAAGAAAAAAACAAATGCGAAAAACTTTTCTTCTTCTTTTTCCTCTTCTTTAACTCTTTTTTTTTATGTCTTTTTATTTTTCTCATTTCATCAACAACGATATTATTTTCAAAATGTATGATAATTGCATGAAGTTAAGTGAAATTTTCGATTATTTTCATCATGTTGAAGAAGTAATTTTAAAATGACAAGTTTAGATTTGAAAGAAGGATGAATTTTAATAATAGCTGTTTATTTATTGATAATAGTAATTAAAAGAGTAATAATAAAAAATAAATGAGAAGGGGAAAGAGAGAGAGAGAGAGAGAGAGAGAGAGAGAAAGAAAGAAAGAAAGAAAGAAAGGAGGAAAAAAGACAATTTCATTGGATATTTGATAATAGGATAACGGATAAATTGGTTTTGTTTTAAAGCTTTTGATTACAGTGTTGTGCTATGCAGGCGATCAATTTCATCACTATAATGCTAGTGGTAGTAATAATAATTAATAATGACAACAATAATAATAGCAATAATGATAATGTAATAATTAATGATGATAGTATTAATAATAGTGGTGATAATGATAATAATAGTAATATGGTGATAATGATAATAACAGTAATTATAATTATAATGATAATAATAGTGGTAATGGTAGTAACAGTGATGACAATCAGAGTGATAGTAATAATCATAATGATAATGATTGTAATGTTGATATCATTAATCAATGATAATAGCAATGACAATGAAAGAATATGTTTAATTATTTTCTTCCATTCATCTTTAATATCTTTGTCACGAATTCATATCATTTTTAATCAGGATTAATAATCTTTTTCTCTTAATCACTTTCATATTGCAAGAAGGAAAGAATGCTTTAATTTTCTAATATTCCCCATCTTATTATTTTATTAATTTCATTTGATTATCTCAAATGAAATATTTCTCAGTTGATGGCAAATGGCAGAATATATTAGTAAGTAGGCTTTTTTGTTTTTTGTCTTTTTTTTTTTTGCTTTCTTTTTGATGAATTGATCCGTTTTTAAATTATTTAAAGAGAAAATAAAATAAATAAAAAAATGAGGAAAATTGAATAAGGAAATTTATTTCTTTTCTTTTTTTCTTAAAGAAAAGTCAAGCTAGAAAAAGTAATGAACTGATGATATAGATCAGTAAAAAAAAATAACAAATAGACGAAAAATATGTTTCTGCTTATGCTAGCTAAAAGATATTTTAAGAAAGGAAATGAAATCATTTTTAAAAAGCAATTAAATGGATGAAAATTATAAAAGTGAAATTTAAATATGATATTAAAATATGATTTTATATTGCAGATTTTTGTTGAATGCTTAAGAAATTAGTATATTGAATAGTTGAAGAGTTAAATAATTTAATGTAGATAGAACAGAGAGATCATATATAATACAGAATTTGGGGTTTTTTTTTTTAATATAAGCATAGCATATTGAGCTTATTGTCAAGTAGACGAGAAAATTTAATGAAAAAAAAAAGTAACAAAGTGAGTTATTTATAATGAGAGACTAATTTTAAAAGTGAAATTAATGAATAGTCATTGGATAGTAGAATTTGCTAGAGGAAACAAATCGAAGAAAGAATTTTTTCTTTTTTTTTTAAAAATAATTTTAATAAAATTTAAGTGGAAAATATTTGTTTAAATAAAAGAATATGTTGTAAACAATATGGAACTTATTATACGATGATTAAAATTAATTTAAAGTTGAAATGATTATAAAAGTATAAACCTAGAAATAAGCATTCTTGCAAATATTCTAAATTAAATCTTTGCAATTTTTATTTTTCAATTATACAATGGATACATTTTGCATTGAGATACTTTAGGAAAATTAAATTTTCAATTCATTTAAATGAAGCTTTTGGTTCAAAAATAAAAGAAAAAAAAAACTGTCCGGAGATAATAAATGGTTATTTCCGGTTTAGTCGGGAATTTGAAATGCTTAGAAAAGATGTGAAAATGAAAAGGAAGAATGATCGAATAGTGATGGAGAAGATAATGATGATAAGTGTAGAAGAAGAAGAGAAAGAGGAGGAAGAAGAGGAAAATGAAAA